AGTTTGTCACAGCCCCTCGTTTGTTGTCCTCTTCTCTCTCTCAACCTACGGTTTTACCGGGCAGTTCTGTTTGTGACGATATATATATATATATATATATATATATATATATGTATATATATATATATATATGTATATATATATATATACAGAGTTGCCGAAGTTCGGGGCGGGTCGAACATATGAACTCGAATGCCTGAACGTTCGGCACCCCTTCTTGACGCGTTCGAACGTTCGGCCGAACGCGAACTAAACAACATTTGCCTCAACGTTATATTGAAATTATTTACTAAATTTGAAATAAGAATCAAATATTAAAACTAAATAATAATAATAAAAATTAGAAAAAATTAAACGAGATTGAAGTTATTGAGTGGGCGAGCACGTTTTTGATACCGCCATCTTTGGCGATTTTCCTTTCTTTTTTTTGCTGTGACAAATGCCATGAAAATTTATGTATGTTTAGCTTACATAATATAAAATCTATAAATTAAGTTTAAAAAAATAATAATTGTTTTCATGACTCGAAATAAAGGAAAAATAAAAAGTGAAAAGAAAAAAAAAACAAATTAGTGAGTGGGCAAGCAGGTTTTGACACCACCATCTTTGCCGATTTTTTTTTTTTTTGGCTCAACAGAATGGCCTTAAAATTAAGAGGGAGATACCTTGCATCACAAAGAACTCACAAAAAAAACTTCACAAAAAGAAATAATGTTTAGGTGTCAAAATATGTTTTTGCGGTGTCCGAACCCCTTTAGGTTCGGGCCCGTACGGGAACCCGAACGCCCGAACGTTCAGGGGTCAGCTTATGGTCCTCCGTACGTTTGGCCTGACAACCCTGTATACACGTATACATACACTATGATACATATATATATATATATATATAAAAAACCTTTGCCTCGCACCGCTTCGACAKGGGGRGGCGGGCGKGKGGGGGGGGGGGRGKGAMCCCYCCCCCYCCTCCACACGTGCACATCGTCACCARTAATGTTTTTGGGAAATGAACATTACCTCCCCGCACACACTTGAACATTATCAAAAGCACGAGGAAAACTAACATGATCATTTATATGACAACTAGTAAAGCTACATACAATCCTCTAACATGGGGGAGGAGGGGGTGTGGGGGAGGAGGGGGTGTGGGGGAGGGGGTGCAGAGCCCCCCCTCCCCCGCACTTAGACCCCATCACCAAACATCTAAAACCTATTCCCCTGAGACCCTCTAGGACATACTCACATCGGGACTTCGAGCAACTTAGGGCGCGCTCACACTCTGACTATCCTTACAACATACTGACAGTGGCACCTTTTGGGACAAACGCTGGGACTGGGGACGACTTAGGACACAATCGACTTTTCATGGAATGTATTTGACTAAATTCTGTCTCTCTCTTTCTCTCTCTCTCTCTCTCTCTCTCTCTCTCTCTCTCTCTCTCTCTCTCTCTTTCTCTCTCTCTCTCTTTCTCTCGGCGTCGTTGGTGTCATAGGGTCACATGCCAGCGGCCCACCTGCTGCGGTATGGCGCGCTTGTGTGCATGTGGAGAGTAGTGTGGCGAGGCCTATAGCTTAGTTTTATAAGTAAAAAAAAAAAAGGAAGGAAACGTGCCTTTTTTTTTTGGTTTTGACTTTTGTCTTTTGTGCCTCGCTCCATTGCTCTCGACATGCACAAAAGACAAAAATCATGATGGTGCATCTTTCCATGTTCTAAGGGAGGATTCACTCTCATTTTGCACATTTCGAGAGTAGTCGAGCAAGGCCCAATCGAGCTGAGAAGCCAACGAGGATTTCCTTGGTAGCGGCGAGCGAACCGGGAATAGGCCAGACTGAAAATCCAGGGGCTTTGCTGCTGCCTGAATCGTAGTTTTGAGAGGCAACCTCTGCAGCGGGCCGTGTGCAGGTTCCCTGGAAGAGGACGCCGAAGAGGGTGACAGTGCCGTCAACCACCGGACCGTGCTGCGCAACAAGGTGTTGTCGAAGAGTCGGGTTGTTTGGGAATGCAGCCTCAATTGGGTGGGAAGTCCCATCCAACAACGCTAAATATGTGTGAAGGACCGATACCAAAGAAGTATTGGGAGGGAAGGGTGAAAATAACTTTGTGGGGTTAGAGACTTACCTGTTGGCCGGTGCATTGCTCATCCTATCAATGGAAAACTCGTTTTTTTTCTCTCTCTCTCTCTCTCTCTCTCTCTCTCTCTCACACACACACACACACACACACACACACACACACACACACACACACACGTGGCAGTGTATATTTCCATGTTTTAGAGGGAGATTCATTTAATTTTGCTCATCCAATCGATGGAAGTAGCATGACGCCAGCCGCGAGGTTGGAGACTTACCTGTTCTCTCTCTCTCTCTCACACACACACACACCAAATACATAAATAAATAAATAAAAAAATGGTGGAGGAGGTGTGGGGGAGGGGGGGTCCACTCACACTCTGACTATCCTTACAATATACTGACACTGTGACCCTCTGGGACATACTCACACTGGGACTTCGGACAACTTAGGGCGCACTTACACTCTGGCTATCCTTACAGCATACTGACACTGGAACCTTTTCGGACAAGCGCTGGGACTTGGGGCGACTTGGGACACAATGGACTTTTCTTGGAATGTATTTGACTAAAATGTCCTCTCTCTCTCTCTCTCCGGGACAGCCCAGAGACCATTGGCGGTGCCAAAGTGCTATTTTGAAGTACCATAAGCTCCCTGGTGCCTTCATTGGCCATCCACTCAGGCCACCGCGACAAGGGTGATGATCCTCAGTGGTAGACACTGAGGTAGGACTGGGCGGGTGGGGGTGCCCCGGGGAGAGTTGATGAGAGGAACGGTAGGTGGGGGTTCTCATCAGGGGGAAGCCCCTAAAAAGGGAAAAAGAAAGACTTCCAAGTCCCTCCGTGACAGACTCAAGTTCGAATCCAGATACCTTCAATTCTGACTGAAGATTCATTCCGATTTTGCTCATCCTATGGATGGAAGTAGCCTCTGGCTATCCTTACAGCATACTGACACTGGCATCTGTTGGGACAAACGTTGGGACCTGGGGCGACTTGGGACACAATCGACTTTTCTCGGAATGTATTTGACTAAATTTCTCTCTCTCTGTGTGTGTGTGTGTGTGTGTGTGTGCGTCATTGGTGTCACAAGGTCCGGGCTGCGCCACCACGCTGGGCGTGGTCTAACAGTAATTTCGAGCGTGGGAAACGTAAGGTGTTGGACAGGCTCTGGGTATAGATGCAAGTTGGGCGCCGGTAGGGCGGGTTTTCCCAGTTTTGAATAGGGCACAGATGCAATTTGTTCCCCCAAGAAAAACATGCCTCGTTGTTGCCGGCCTCCGAGCCTGCATCAATATCCCAGTGCCCCATACCCGACCCCGGCCTCGTCACGTTGAAGGGCCCACACCCAAAAAAAAAAAAGGTCGAAGGGGCCCCCCGCAAGAACGGGCAGAGCGTTTCCCGTTTGTCGATGCTGCCACACGTCCGTACGAGTTCACACCTCCAGGGGGTTTCGTTGCAGCCAGCCACTTGGGCGGAGGGCCTGCCTCTCATCGACTCCGAGGTGAGCAGATTCGTTTCCTCTGTGTCTCGGTTGATTCATTCCATTCTCTCTCTCTCTCTCTCTTTCTCTCTCTCTGTGTCTCTCTCTCTCTCTGTATCTGTGTGCGCCAAACGGAATGGAATGGATCCAGGCGCCAAAAGATGATACTCCCACCAGTGGATCCAGGCGCCAAAAGATGATACTCTCCCCCCCCCCCCCCCCCCCCGTTTTTCTCTCTCACAGGAAATAGAGGTGATCCGAATGATTATGGGGTTGGAGAGAGAGAGAGAGAGAGAGAGAGAGAGAGAGAGAGAGGAATGGTGAGAAAAGAACGGAGAAGAGGCGATGGGGAGGGAGAGACAGACTACGGTCTTCCCGCGAAGAGGACGTACGGATAGTATCGCGGTATCTGGACTGAAAGTTCCCCCAAATACCGCGATACTATAATGGCTGTACGTTCTGATCGGTGGAAGACGGTAGGTCGGACAGAGACGAGAAGAAGGTTAGGATGGCGGTAGAAGACGGGAAGGGTATGGGCAAGGGTGGGGTCCTTCTCGTTACGGTTCCCCAAGTCCCTCCAAAAGAACCGGAGAAGCTGAACTTATGGTCGTGCAAATCAGTTAGACGCAGTTGAGTGAAAGGGCGGGGGGCGGGGAAGAG